AAGGACTACAGCTGCTACTATAAGGAAATAGAAGATCTTCAAAATCAGGTGACATTTTTTGGCTGTATTCCCCATTGTAAAAGCTTCCTTCTGAGTTTGTGTTCATATCCTATTTCACTTTTGTAAAATGTTCTTTGCAGACAATAAATTAAGGCAACTGCTTTTATGAACTACGAGTGAGGGTGTGAAAACTCATGAGTCCATTTAAAATTTGCCTTTGCTTGACCAGATTTGTACAAAGAGAAAAAGGTTACATATGCAGGGAACAATCTGGGCCTGGTCAGTATTCCTCCTATCCAGAGGTGGGGGTGGGAAAGGGGAATATTCCCCTAAAGAACAATAAGAAAAAAAGACTACTTTGTCACCAATAGTTTTGAATGGACAATTTAATTTTTGTAAAAAATATTTTCCAAGTATATTCGGAAGAAGGATTAGTCAGCTAGGAAAAACAAAGCGGACAGAATCACAGGGTGCAGGAGAGAGATACACGCCAAATGCTGAGCTGTAATGTAAGCCTTGCAATGAAAAAATATAAACTCATAGTTACGAACTCTAGACCAAGTTTGAAAATGTGAGGTCTGTTATAGCAGGCACCAGGGAGCACTAATTCTAATTGCAAAACTGTTAGCATCTTAACTGTGTGTTTTTACACATTCATTCATTTCACCTATTTCACTTCACACACTTGGACATTTCTCAAACATTTCTCCTTGGATCAGAAATTTTCTGTGCTTCCTATCTGTCTGAATTTGAATACTGGGAGAGTAAAAAGACTGAAATTTGCAACGTGACACTGAGCATAACAGAGTGAAGAGACTTCATGGCTGAAAATCCCCCGGATCCTCTTCTTTTCCAGATTGTTTGCGCTACCCTAGACAACAACAAGATCATTCTGAACATTGATAACAGCAGGATGGCAGCTGATGACTTCAGACTGAAGTGAGTACCTCTCTGTAGCAGACAAACCCTGTCATTCTCCTCCTGTTCCCTCACATCCTATTTACAAATTGACAATGAAGATATCCCCCAACCAAGAATTACTGGTATTCCTGATTCATGACAGGTTGTATTATTGTGATATTTTATTATTATTAATTATCTGTATTAGAGTAGCAGCTATGAAGCTCAGTCACGGACCAGGACCCCATTGTGCTAGGCACTGTACAAACACAGAACAAAATGACTCACCACCCCCAAAGAGCCGACAATCCCATTAGAAGACAAAAGACAACAATGGATACAGACAGACCAATGTGGGAGTACTCGAGAACAACGACACATAATTGGTGGTCTCAGATTTTGAGATGTGCCTTCGGTCTTTGACTCTAGAGGTGCCAGAATAGGGGCATTTCCAGGACAGAGTGTTTGAGGCAACAAAGAGTTTGCTTGTGGGGTTTAGGGGGCTAAAATATAGGGACAATGGATGTAAGTTGGCATGAGTCCATTGAAGGCAATGGAGCTATGCACATTTATACCAACTGAGAGTCTGGCCCACGGTTTTTATAAAAAGAAAAGAGTTTAGATTATTTCCCAGGGGAAGTGCAGAAAAATCAATGTGGGACATCTTTGTAGTAGTTCCAGTAGAGAGGAGAGGGGCAAGAAAAGCTGAAGAAGGTCTTTTACGAACCAAACATCACATCCCTGCCTTTGAACACACAGATAGACTAGGCAGCAGACGCAGTGTGTTATACTTTAAGCACAGCTCTGAAGGTAAAGCTGAAAGAAGGGAAACCCAGACCCATTCCTAACCAAAGTGCAGCTGCCAGGAATTCTCAATGGTGGGCTCAGCCACGGGCTGACTTTTCTGTCTTTCTTGTCCACGGCTTAGGTTTGAGACTGAGCTGGCCCTTCGCCAGAGTGTGGAGGCCGATATTAATGGCTTACGCCAAGTTCTGGATGAACTGACCCTGTGCAGGTCTGACCTGGAGGCGCAGCTTGAGTGCCTGAAGGAAGAGCTGTGTTGTCTGAAGAAGAACCATGAGGAGGTAGGAGCAGGGCCGGTGCAAGGAAGTTTCACGCCTAGGTGAAACTTCCACCTTGCGCCCCCCCCAAGCCCTGCGGCAGCTCCCCGCCCTGAGCTCCCCCCCCCCCGTGGCAGCTCCCCTTCCGGGGAGCGGTGTGGCAGCTCCCCACCCCAGCTCACCTCTGCTCCGCCTCCTCCCCGAGCACGCCGCCCCCGCTCTAATTCTCCTCCTCTCCAAGGCTTGCGGTGCCAAACAGCTGATTGGCACTGCAAGCCTGGGAGGCGGGAGAAGTGGAGCGGCGACCGCGCGCTCGGGGAGGGGGCGTAGGAACGCTGTAAAAAAAAATTGGGGGCACCGCTTTTTGGCGCCCCCAAATCTTGGCGCCCTAGGCAACCGCCTACTTTGCCCTGGGTAGGAGCTCATTCCCTTAAATGGATTTTTTTTTAATTTTGTACATTATTTACTACAGCAGTGGGGACCTGATCCTGATTAAAACACTGGGGCATGAGTGCAACTACGATCAAGAGAATATTAATAATAATCTGCATTATTATGATATTGCTCCTTTCACAAACCCCGTTGCCTAATCATATTCATTCTAATTTAAAATATAAAGAGGGTGGATCCAGTGCTGGAGGAATTGTCACAAGCAGCCCAAGCGCTCAGGTCCAGCCCTCTAAGGTTTGGGAGCAATGGAGTTGGGTCTTAATGTCAAGCTTCTGGGAGCTCCTGGGCTCTGCAAAATGGGAAGGGGAGAGAGCTACCAGAGACACTAGCATGAGTTGGATAAATCTTCCAGCTGATTTGTCATGGACCGATAAAATAACTTTTCTCTTCTTTGGCATATTTCATCCAAAGAACTTTACTCAAAACAGTGCAAATGTTCCATTGCAATGAATCAGTATTAACAACTCCACTGTGAGGTTGGTAGTATTCTCTCTATTTTGAAGACAGGATATCTAAGGAACAATTAAGAGAAGAGTCTGCCTAAGATCCCTCGGAAACTCTGGAGCAAATCGAGGCATAGTAGGTCAGGAACTCTAACCGCTGAACCAAGCTCACCTCTCTTAAAACATAATAATGAAAGGAAGCAATATTCAAAGAGCCAACACACTGAGACTAAACTAAGCTAAGGCAGTAGAAATGGGCTAACTGGATTTGGAGTATAGAAGAGACACACACAAAAATGGTAGCTGTTGTGAAAATATAATCTGTTAACAGTGTAATGTGGCTATCAAGGAAAACACCTCTTATGCAGAATCCAGGTCACAAAGTGACACAATGACCCAGATGAAGATGAAGTATAAAACCTGTTAATTTTTCCAGCAAAAATAGTCAGGAATTCTTTAATTTGCTGGGATTAACCATCAGACATCCCAATAAACACCCCCTGTTTCTTTACCTCAGGAGTGCTCACTGTGGAATTTTGCTTAGAAATCATCTGTGGTTTCCCCATCAGGGCTGGGTCTATCCTGGAGAAGATGCATCAGAGACAGTTGTTGTGACTGTCAGGAATGGGCCCAAGGATGCAGAGGCTCACTGACAGTGGCATGCTGCTCTCATTCGCCCGAGAACTCAACTCATGTTTTTTTCTTTTTAAACAAGCTGATCTGGGTTATCTTTGCAGGAAATCAATTGTCTGAGAAACCAGTCCACTGGTGATGTCAGCGTGGAGGTCAATTCCTGTCCTGGCCCAGATCTGAAGAAAATCCTAGAGGAAATGAGATGCCAGTATGAAACCATGATTGCACAAAATCGCAAAGAGGTTGAGGACTGGTATGAATGCAAGGTAAATTCATCACAACCGTAACTCTCTCAAGCAAAAATACAGGAGCTATTTCAGAATCACACATTCACGCCATGGGGAGAATTTATTCCTGTAACATATGTTCCAAACATGATCAGCATAGATGTATAGTGACCAGGTCACAGGGGATAGAGGCCCTGTGCATGTACAGTGCATGTGTCTCATGGAAGAACAGGGTTTGCTACATGTCATTATTGAGGTGTGTTGGTGGAACAGTGGGCGAGCCTGTCAGTTAGGACAGAAGAGAATTACTGGTGAAGTTGTGCGGGGTCTTAGCATTAGACTAGCAAGGGGAGTTACAAGCAATAGATGAGATCGATTCCAGTGTGCAGAAAACTTGCCCAGCCCCTGCCTATCTTACATCTTTTGTCACCCACTCCTAGATCCTCCTGACAATTAAAAAATCCCACTGAAGCTCTTTATTCTGTGTTTCTGGTTTTCAGATTGAGGAGGTGAATCGTGAGGTCATCACAAGCAGTCAGGAGGTTGAGTCGTGCAACAGCCAGGTCGCTGAACTTAGACGTCAGTTGCAGTGCCTGGAGATAGATCTGCAATCCCATCTTAGCCAGGTATGTGATGTTGTCACCATTGATATCTCACCTGTGACACACTGACGTCTGGATTTCTGGACTGATGGGGACCAGCCTGGCCTGGCACTTCACATAGCAGTGACGATATCGCTGACAAACCCATTGTTAGCAACAATTTGCTTTTATTTTTGCCTAGGAAATCCTCAACTTCCTGCATCCAAATAGGTTTAATTTAGAGCATGGCTAAAGTACATGTGGGTTTTTTGCTTCATTCTTAGAGGGACAACCTGGAAGCCTCTTTGGCTGAAACCGAAAGTCGCTACAACAGCCACCTGTGCCAGTTACAGCAACAGATCACCTGTGTGGAGCAGCAACTGGCTGACCTGCGAGCAGAAATTGAGTCCCAGAACCACGAGTACAAGGTCCTCCTGGATGTCAAATGTCGACTGGAGCAGGAGATTCACACTTACCGCTGCCTGCTGGAAGGAGGACAGCGTGACATTGTGTACGTAGACTACAGACACAGCGGGGCATAAAGCAAACACTTATGCTGTGATCTGTGCAATGTGTGAGATCTAAAATCACAGAGAGTGAGGAGATTCAGGGGGTGCAGAGGCAGCTGTGAAAATGAGAGAGAATTGTAAGAAGAGATTAACCTAAGTATTTCAAACCTGCAGAAAAGACCCAATGTGCGTTTTTGCC